AGCAAAGTGGAAAGGAAATGGAAGTTATTTAGACCGGAAACAAATGGTAAGTGTTTCAAATTTAAAACTCAGACTTTCAGCGTGGGTAGCTCAGATCACTAGCTGTCCGTGGATGTAAGAACTTTGTTGTTTTCTGACAAACTTTGCCCACAATGGCCCTTGAAGTTAGGCAATTTTAAAGTGAAAAATTGAATTTGCTTTTAGTTTTGTCCACTACTTCAGCATTACTAAAGTATTGACAAGGAATTTAGAGATTTACTCAAATAATGTTGATGTCTTTCCTTGACAGCTTACCATAGTTTGTTAGAGTGTGTCTTTTCACAAATAGAGATTTCTAGTAATTCTTATAAATTTCTTTTAATTTTCTGGATGTCAGAACGTCATTTGAGGCTATAATTTAAAAGATTGCAACATAGTTTTGTAGTTGACCGGATATTCGAGATTTTCAAGTGATTTGGTTTATTTCTCAAAACTTTGCTTAAAAGAATGGCTGAATAGCGTGGATGACTTATGACACGCCTATTTGTAAGAAATTTTCTTGCTCTGATTGGGTATAGTGGTTAAGTTGCTTGCAGTATTCCTTAGTCCTCATGCGTGTTTGCCCAAAACCAATTCAGATTCCCCTTGGAATTTTAAAAATTGGTCTATGGCGACTACAACTTACCTAAATTGAGTTTTTCGTTTTTAAATTGTCGGCTAATATACTTTGATACTTGTGAAAACTATTTTCTGAATGTTTTTGACCAAAAAATTTGAATTCAGTTTGTTTTGCCTTCAGTTTAAGACAATGAGATTTGAAATATTCTGATAATCTTTTAATACTATCTTCCAGTTGATGAAGTGCTGAATTTACATCCTGGCTTTCTCACAAAATATACCGTGTCGTCATTGTCTTGCACAGTTTTATACGAATCGGACAATTGTTTATTAAGATCAATTAATGCAGATTACAATTCAGAAATCCTAATGATGTACTCTGTGGGACACCATGATGCAGTGAACTCATATGAGACTCGATACTTGCTAGATTTGTTTTTATAGCTGTCTGTTGCTTATGAAATAATTAATCCTCGAAATCTCGTTTTTTTTTTGAAAAATCTAACAAACTTAGTTTATTTTTGTAGAATTCTGTCATTAATAGATTTGATCAATTTTGATTGATCTAACTGATTGATCTAACTCTCTACAGTACAAAATAGCGTAAACGGCCAAATAGGAAAAATGAAACACAAACTAAGAGTTGATAAAGAGTTTGTTGGGTTGTAAGTACTAGTGTAATTGCTCAGATAATGTTTTTCAAAATTATTCAATATCTTTTTGGCTATTGAAATAGGTATTTAGTATTTCCAGTCCTCTGAATCGTCTTTTTCAAAAATGGGCGTAACAAATGCTTTTTGGTGATCTCCGAATACATTTTTTTTTTCAAGAATTCACTAATCAGGAATGTTAGGTGCATTCATTTTTCAGAGCCCCTGCTGAAATATCAAACAATCCTGGCGTTTTTTTTTAATTTTAGCAATTCAATATTGCGTTCAACGGTTCAAGTGCTATATTATTATTACAGTTTTTGTTTGTTTATTTCTTTGTTGTCTCGATTCTGATTGGTTAATAATTTCTCTGCTTACTGGCGAGTCTGAATACGCGATTGTCTAAATACTGCTAGGTAACCAAAACTGTGCCAATCGCCATCATCCGCACTAAGGTTTTCAAAATGCGTGAAACTGTAATAATGTCACATTGATTATTTTAATTTACTCGATGAAAATCCTACGTGTCACGTGAACAAATTTTGTACACGCTTTTTCGAGAAAGATTTCACTGCGTTGCAAAACCTAGCAAAGTGGAAAGGAAATGGAAGTTATTTAGACCGGAAAAAAATGGTAAGTGTTTCAAATTTAAAACTCAGACTTTCAGCGTGGGTAGCTCAGATCACTAGCTGTCCGTGGATGTAAGAACTTTGTTGTTTTTCTGACAAACTTTGCCCACAATGGCCCTTGAAGTTAGGCAATTTTAAAGTGAAAAATTGAATTTGCTTTTAGTTTTGTCCACTACTTCAGCATTACTAAAGTATTGACAAGGAATTTAGAGATTTACTCAAATAATGTTGATGTCTTTCCTTGACAGCTTACCATAGTTTGTTAGAGTGTGTCTTTTCACAAATAGAGATTTCTAGTAATTCTTATAAATTTCTTTTAATTTTCTGGATGTCAGAACGTCATTTGAGGCTATAATTTAAAAGATTGCAACATAGTTTTGTAGTTGACCGGATATTCGAGATTTTCAAGTGATTTGGTTTATTTCTCAAAACTTTGCTTAAAAGAATGGCTGAATAGCGTGGATGACTTATGACACGCCTATTTGTAAGAAATTTTCTTGCTCTGATTGGGTATAGTGGTTAAGTTGCTTGCAGTATTCCTTAGTCCTCATGCGTGTTTGCCCAAAACCAATTCAGATTCCCCTTGGAATTTTAAAAATTGGTCTATGGCGACTACAACTTACCTAAATTGAGTTTTTCGTTTTTAAATTGTCGGCTAATATACTTTGATACTTGTGAAAACTATTTTCTGAATGTTTTTGACCAAAAAATTTGAATTCAGTTTGTTTTGCCTTCAGTTTAAGACAATGAGATTTGAAATATTCTGATAATCTTTTAATACTATCTTCCAGTTGATGAAGTGCTGAATTTACATCCTGGCTTTCTCACAAAATATACCGTGTCGTCATTGTCTTGCACAGTTTTATACGAATCGGACAATTGTTTATTAAGATCAATTAATGCAGATTACAATTCAGAAATCCTAATGATGTACTCTGTGGGACACCATGATGCAGTGAACTCATATGAGACTCGATACTTGCTAGATTTGTTTTTATAGCTGTCTGTTGCTTATGAAATAATTAATCCTCGAAATCTCGTTTTTTTTTTGAAAAATCTAACAAACTTAGTTTTTTTTTGTAGAATTCTGTCATTAATAGATTTGATCAATTTTGATTGATCTAACTGATTGATCTAACTCTCTACAGTACAAAATAGCGTAAACGGCCAAATAGGAAAAATGAAACACAAACTAAGAGTTGATAAAAAGTTTGTTGGGTTGTAAGTACTAGTGTAATTGCTCAGATAATATTTTTCAAAATTATTCAATATCTTTTTGGTTATTGAAACAGGTATGTAGTATTTTCTGTCCTCTGAATCGTCTTTTTCAAAAATGGGCGTAACAAATGCTTTTTGGTTATCTCCGAATACATTTTCTTTTTCAAGAATTCACTTATCAGGAATGTTAGGTGCATTCAATTTTCAGAGCCCATGCTGAAATATCAAACAATCCTGGCGTTTTCTTTTAATTTTAGCAATTCAATATTGCGTTCAACGGTTCAAGTGCTATATTATTATTACAGTTTTTGTTTGTTTATTTCTTTGTTGTCTCGATTCTGATTGGTTAATAATTTCTCTGCTTACTGGCGAGTCTGAATACGCGATTGTCTAAATACTGCTAGGTAACCAAAACTGTGCCAATCGCCATCATCCGCACTAAGGTTTTCAAAATGCGTGAAACTGTAATAATGTCACATTGATTATTTTAATTTACTCGATGAAAATCCTACGTGTCACGTGAACAAATTTTGTACACGCTTTTTCGAGAAAGATTTCACTGCGTTGCAAAACCTAGCAAAGTGGAAAGGAAATGGAAGTTATTTAGACCGGAAAAAAATGGTAAGTGTTTCAAATTTAAAACTCAGACTTTCAGCGTGGGTAGCTCAGATCACTAGCTGTCCGTGGATGTAAGAGCTTTGTTGTTTTTCTGACAAACTTTGCCCACAATGGCCCTTGAAGTTAGGCAATTTTAAAGTGAAAAATTGAATTTGCTTTTAGTTTTGTCCACTACTTCAGCATTACTAAAGTATTGACAAGGAATTTAGAGATTTACTCAAATAATGTTGATGTCTTTCCTTAGGTAAGAATCAGAGAAAGGCAAGCAAAAGCGCCAGGCAAATGAGTTAATCGGTAATTAACTTTTCAACCGCCGCGACTAATTTTTTCGACCATCGCGACTCATTTTTCGACCGCCGCGACTAACTTTCCTTTGATCACGCCGGAGGTGGTTAGTGTTAATTTGGTTGCGCTGGTGACAGTTAACTTTCCTTCAGTTTCGCAAAGTCTGGAAAAACCAAGTTTTTTTAAAGTTTTTTTTTAGTTTTCCTAGCCATTTTTGTACAAAAATTTTTCTCCAATTTGCCTGTATTACTATGACTGCCTAATTTGCCTTATATGTGTTTTCACGTCAGATCCTTTTATCTCACCTACCAGAAAAAAACTACACTAATTTAGAAATAAAAAGAGTGGTTTTCTAAAAACTTTGGTCGGAACATTTTGCCCTGCTCGCACAGTAATCGCGGCTATCCTTGTTCCATTTTGGTTTTAGAGGTGGTATTTTTTCTTTCAATTTTTGTATCGCAAGGGGTTCAACGCTCGGCTGAGTCTTGATCCTTTTTTTGTATCTTTCAACTCACTTTGGCTTGCGGGATCAAGTTAACATCCCCCCTACCCCAATATACCAAGTTATGATTGTCTACCCCAGTGTTCATTTTAATCAAATTTTAAAATTAAACCGTGTTTTAAGCTTTGTGAATCTGAGAGTGTTGCTCAAACTGGTCAAATTGTTTTGAATGATTGTGCTAATTTGACACCTCAAAATTTACTTTTCTCATCCAGCCGTCTCCATGCAATACTCAAACTCGGTTTTTCTCACACCTCTTTTCATAATTTATACTTCTGCAACTTTTTCTTCGATATATGGCCGGCTGTTACAATTTTATGTCACCAAAAATGGTGTCAAGTTGAGGTTTGGGAATAATTCGATTTTGATTTGTTGCAGCAATTATCAGTTTTTGAAGATATGCCAAGACCCCTTTTTTCCCCTCCCATCGTTCAAATCTAGTTATCTGTTGTTTTTTTCAGAGGCAATTTTTTCCAAGAAATTAATTTTAATGCCCACAGAGGTAATAAATTACAGGTTATTACTTATTTCCCACCGCTATTTGATTGTATTAGCTCAGTTTATCTCTGAAATCGACTTATTATTGCTTTTATTGTGAGCCCAATTCAATACTCCTTGGAAATGTATTCAGTTTCAAATTTATATTGTTTAATTTTCTGGCTTCCTGGTGTTTTCAAGATTTTTCTGTTGCCAAATATAATCTAAAACTTTTTGAGTCATTTATTTTTAAATCGAAATAATTTTTTGATACATTTTTCCAGATTCGATAACTTTGACTGCCGCATCTTTGTTGATCCATGACAATTTTTTCTGTCAATTTGTTCATTCTATCTCAAACAGATACTTTTAAGCTACCAAGGCAGCATCTAATGACAAACGCAGGAATTTTCCGAAGAGGGGGCACTTTTTCTGAGAAAAAAATTTAAAATAATGTCGAGCTTTATCATGTCGACCAAATTGGTTTCTTGAGCTCCCATATAACTCTATAAAGAAGTTTTGAACAAACAAGCAGTTTTAAAATGACCTCAAGTGGCATTTTTTGGAGCGATGACGCATCATAGAAAAAGTTCAAGTTTGGACTACTGAAAAAAAAGAAAAAAGGGGGGACCGTTTGGAAAAAAATTGGGAAACCAGAATGGATGGGGGCGGGTATGATGCAACTGGCACGCCCGCTGATACAGCAAATTAGCTTAGTAACCGAATAATTACTGCCGTTTAACAGCTCAAAAATAAAAAAAACCTTTGAAATAAAAACTTTTGAAAATAATATTTTGAAATTCAGTTTTGCTTTGAGCAAATCGTTGATTAAAACCTCTTTAAAAAGTTGTCTTTAGTAGATTCATTTTTGAAAACATCATCAAAACATTTGCCGAATCATCAAAAAAATTGCTTAAAAAATGCTGAATCTGAAAATTGTTCTCTTCGCTGTTCTGGCTGTGACAGTGGTTCTGACGCAGTTGGCATTTGCAGGAGACATGAGTATGAGAAGATACTATCTGGACAACTGGATACCGGAAAAAAGAGCAGTTTCTCCTTGGGTAGGTTAATAAACTGTTTTTCTAGCTTTAACTGGAAACAACCGTAAAAACAACGAATTTTCGCCTTGGTATAAAGATGTTTTGAGCGTTACTCTTAAACTAGAAATATCTTTCGCCCATTTTTATTTATGCAAGCAAGCTATGTACTTTTTTCATCGTAGTATATTTTTTCAAAAATGTGAAGAACACACGTAAGTTCTTAGATACTTAAAAACGGTTTGCTCAAACTTTACCGCAATAAAAAATGATAAAAAAACTTTTGGCTTTTTTACTTGATCAAAAAGAATGTTAGAAAATATTTGGCTTTCTTAGTTGATCAAGAACTACGCTGAACTACCGAACTTATTGATGAAAAAGTTAAATCAAAAGATAAAACCTTTCATAACTGTTTTCATAACACTGTGTTTATAACCCAGCTCATCATAGTTGCAGAAGGGTAAAAATCTCCAAGCTTCTGTACAAGAAAAAAGTTTAGCTTCATATTTAAAAAGGTACTTTTTAATATGAAAGTTTCAAAATCTTGGGAGATTTTCATTATTCTAGAACTTTTCTTTTGTTGTGTGCCAGGGGCGGATCTAGGATTTTCTCGAGGGGAGGGCGGATTTAAAAAAAAATTTCGAAAATTTTGTCGATCTTTTTTTAGGTCGACCGAATTGATTTTTCCAGCTCTCCCTAAGCACTGTTTAGTCCCTGTTTTGGTCAAATTTTCTGCACCGCAGCCAAAGTTTTGAAAAAAAACAGTCCACAAAAGGCGTTTTTGTGGCATTTTTTGGAAAATTTTGACCAAAAAATGGCATTCTTCGGCGCGAGCTCCCCCTCAAAAATAATATACATTGGCGCCAAAGAAAAATCTGTAGAAAAATTTTAGGGTCGGTCGGCCCGTATGGATTTGTTAAAAATTTCCAAAGGGGGCCCCTTGGGGTCGGCAGGGGATCGAATCCCTGAGGAGGAAAGAAAAAGGCGTCCGCCATCGCCCCACCACCCCCCCCCCCTAAATCCGCCCCTGTTGTGTGCGATGTTTGAGGACTTTTTTATAACCTCATGGTTAATTACCTCATGGTTGTTCTGGACTCATGGACCTTTAATCTCTTCACTAAATATGAACCCAATTTGAAAAAAATGCGTATAAAGTTTCCATTGCTTTTCGTTTTGTCCGGCACTGTATTAGATAACTGCTAGACGATAATAGCTCAAAAAAGCCACAAATCTATTCTTAAGACAGTTTGAAATAATTGGTTTTAAAGCAAGCTAGAATAAATTATATGTTATACCGGATCATTTGCTGTCAAAACTATACTAAAGTGAGCCTCTTATGGAGCCCGGCAAACTTTGAAAGGAGTAGAATCTTCCCTAATAAGTTTTGCCTATATGTTTTTTTTGTAATTAAAATGTGTCAATATTACAATTTTATCAGATAATTTTCAATGTTTTTAGAAAATTTACTTTTTTCATTTCGTTTTGGTTTACATTAGAGGCTATAGATAATATAGTTTATTGCCCGCAATTAAAACCGTAGTTCTTGTTAAATTTTTATTGTCGAAAAAATATTGGGTTTGCGTTAAATGATTGGCCCGAACTTTGCAAAAAAATGCACCATAATAATTCAGCTAAAATTCAATGCAAAGTTTGTTTTTATTTGAAAAAAATTGTTTTGAAGTTCAAGCTTTGTTTGTTTTGCCGGATATTTTAAATTGCAATACTGCACTATTTCAGCGAATGACGTGACTATAATTAGTAAATACTGTATTTTGTAGAGATATTCAATTTTTGTTCTAATTTACGCAGAATGTGACAAAACATTTGAGCTCTGCGTGGTTTTGTCTCCAGACAAACTTCAATTTTTTATCTAGACATTTTTGAGAAGTTTTGCTGAAATGATCTGAAATGTATTGCTGTAATAGAGCTAAAAATCATGTTAAAAAATTTTACCCGATATATTATGTGAAATTATGCAACCAATCCGCGTTAATTTCCAGTTTTTAATTGAGCTAATTCAGTTGAGCTATTTGTTCAAACTAACGCGCTACTACATGATGAGAAACATATTTTTTGGAACTCGAAGCAAGGTTACTTTGGCAAGATATTTGTTATCATGCTTTCCATTTTTTCTTCATAACTATTTCTTTATTTTCGAAGTTTGTTTATGTTCGCTGGTTTTTATTTGTTTTTCTCCACCTACTTCACCTTTCCCCATGTTACTCGCATTTGAATTCCTCCCCCATTCAAAATTCGATCTAGAAAACGCAATTTTTTAAATCAAATTTTCAATAAAATCTTGAATTTTATTGTCGAGCAATTAGAACGGCAGTTCTTGTTAAAAATTTGATTGACGAAAAAAATTGGATTTGCGGTTAATTTTCGGCCCGAATTTCGCAAAAAAGCACCATAATAATTCCGCTAAAATTCAATGCAAAGTTTGTCTTTAATTGAGTAAAACTTGTTTTGAAGTTCAAGCTTTGTTTGTTTTGACGGATAATTTAAATTGCAAACTTTTCCTATAGTTTTCGTTTTTAAAATCTACTATAATTGGTTTTTGAGGTTTCTCTTGAGGCATCATTGAGACTTCATAGTTAACATTGCGTGTAGCGGTAATTAAACAAAAGTGGAAATATGGTTAAAAAACTATGAATTCTAAACAAAGATTTGCAGTTATCTTAAAAGGCAGTGTGACCCGCACTGACAAAAAAAGAATAGGATCAATTTTACTATGAAAAAAGTACATTGATTAAGTTTAGATCAATTTTAGTATGAAAAAAGAAAAGTCCGACGATTAAATAAAAAAGATGAAGATTGATTTGGATTGATTTAAAATTGATTTAAATTGATCTTAAATTCCAGTAAAAAAAATTGATCCAAATCGATTTTAAATCGATTTAAATACATTTTTTCTAGTCTTAATTTGTTTTTATTTTTAGGGAATTAAAACGGATTTATATTGATATAAATTGATTTTTTTCATTCTAGATTTATCAGTTTCGAATTTCTATAGCATTTGATCATTGCCTATCATTTTTCATTTTACATCTATAGCGTATTGTAGCGTAAAAAGACCAAATAAAAAGACCAAAATATCGATAACATTCTATTATTTTCTTGCATGTTCTGAGTTCAAAAACTGACCTATATTGACCCTTTTTTTGATCCGTTTTGCCCAAATTCTGATTTATCTTCATAATTTCTATGATTTAATTGCATATTAATGAGATCAAATTTAAATTTATTCTGACCCTTTTCTTGTTTGTTACAAAACATTTTGCAAAATCTGACGTACAAAAGTTTTCTATGATATCATTGCCTACTTTGGAGCTCAAAATTGGATTTATGTGAATCGTTTATTGAATTCTATAACATCTGGCACAAGTGTTTATATATAAAAAATTGAGAATAAAAAATTCCTTCGCCGTGTAAGCAAAAAAATTGATTTTACTGAGTCTGAGAATCCATCCAAATTGATTTAAATCGATTTTTATGGCACTCAAATCGATCCAAAATTTTCAAATAAGATCAATGTAAATCGATTAAAAATGGATTTAAATGAATTTTGGTTTTAGTGAGTCGGAAAATCCATCCAGATCGACTTAAATTTTTAGTCACTTAAATTGATCCAAAATTTTCAAAAAACATCAAATTAAATCGATTTAAAGTTCATTTAGTTTCGTAAAATGTACATTGTTAATCGATTTGGATTGATTTAAAATCGACTTAAAATCAAATTAAATCGATCCCAAACCATTTTTGTCAGTGCGGGGAACAATAAAGGCTTTGCTGTGATACACAATTTTGTTATTTCGGCTTTCAGAAAAATTGACGGAATAATTTTGCGTGAAGAAATTTCAGTGATGATGAGTCATTTCGCGCTATAGGTAGGCGAACAAAATTTTATCCGTTCCACCGATTTTGTCAAGTTCTCATCAAAAAAAGGCTCCCGGCAATTTTTTCTGATCCTAATTTGCGTTTTTCCTTGCTCGCTCGATAAAACAAACATCACTAAAAATTGATAATTCGTGTTTTGAGTTTTAATCTCATTGTTATCAAGTTTTGTTTGGTCTCAAACGCAGTTCTTTCGCATTAGTTCTGGAAAAGGACATGTCAGGAAAAACGATGATAGCTGATATTCCCATTGATCGCCTAGGTTATTTGCAAACGCAATTCACGAGCTGTTGTCGAGATAATTGTGGTCCGTAATATGTCATTATCTTGCAAATTTCGCAAAAATGTTGATCTTTAACTTGTATTGTAAGACAGCAATCACTGTGCGTTGTATGGTTTTTCCAAAATTAGATACAAACTAATGCGCAATGGAAGTTGAATAGTTGGCTTTGCGTAATGGCACGCTTAGTAATTTTCTTGGTACTACTTTTGAGTCAATTCGGGACCACCTTGAGTCAATCTAACTATCTACTCTTAGCTAGATCAACTCTTAGGGGTTGGCCAAGCCCCTTTTTGCGATAAATACATCCCTGCCTGAAGAACATTGCCGATAAGACTATGTCATAGCAACTATGATAGACAGTTCCCGCATGCATTTGGCATGTTCTAATTTTGAAAAACAGTTTGTTTATAAGTTATTCATTTCATCATTACGAGGCCAAACAGTGTATTTTGTGAATTGTGAGCAGATTCTGCAACAAGGAAGCTTCCTTCGTTCTTATTTTGCTCTTTCATTCTCTTTGATCGTTCCGACAAATTTTCAACATGTTAAAGATTTGTCTCTGGAATCCAGGAACACACAGAAACAGAATTGTGCGCCTATTCAGTGCACAATTTAGCCTCGTAATGAAAAATCTCACAAAATATGTAATCAAAAAACTTTCAGACTAAAAATTGAAATTACTACATCGTATATATCGGATCAAGTAAGCATCCTCCCCGCCAAATAGATCAAGTTAAGATCCTCCAACCCAGCGCTTAATTTAAATTAAGTTTGCTAAGCGCTGCATATCAAATGCTCGATTCTGATTGGCTAAAAAATCCCAACTTAGAACCAAGTTAACATCCTACCACCAAACGGCTTTGGGGGGAGGATGTTAACTAGGTCCTATATATCTGAAAAGTTGCTCGCTTGAACTTAATTTACGATTTAACAACAATAATTGGATTGTCTTATTTGTCAACAAAATTCAATTTTGATTTTTTTTTGAATTTTTGACCTCATAATGTTGAGGGGGGAGGTTTTACGAAACAAAGAAACTTAGAAAACTATCCCTCCCACCTAAGGTTTTAAAAACAATTTACTGAAAAGTGACAATCAACCTCTAAATCGGGGAAAAACCGAGAGTATGAAATGGAATTTTTTTTGGTGGTAAGACCGCCTAGAGACTTCTGTCAGTTGATTAGAAGATTAACCTTTTGCGACCTTTGGGTGATCTAGTTTTATCTGAAAACCAAACATTTGTTCGGACCAATTTATTTCAACACTGAGAAACTGTTTGGTATTTTGCTGTAGGAGTCCAAATCGCGTCAAACAAGTCTTTAAAACTATACCACACTCACTAATTCTACTAGCTTTCCATGAGTTAGGAAAATTCTGGTTAAAACATATCTGAAAAGGGTCGACTAAATTTTGGACTTTTCTCTGTCGAGATAATCGAGCTAAACCATTTTTAGTTGACAGTGTCACAACACATCAATTTGGGGCCGAATAGTCTTTTTTTTGAAAAAGTGGCCGAAAAGGTCGAGAAAAACGAAACAGCAACTTTTGGCCGAGAAACTGGAAGCTTACTTGAACTGGGTCGAGCAAAATATAACACACTTTTTTTGCCTTGGGTCGGCAAAAACGATCCAACAAAAATCGATCGAGAAAAACAAAACATACCAAAATCAGGAAATAATTGCAAAAAAGCTGGGATGGCAAAAAGTGATTTGCTGTGATTAAAGTTAAAATTTGCTAATGCTTTTTTTGTTTTAGGCGAGATACAGAGGGATAATTGACAAACAACTGAAGGGCAAAATTGAACACGGATTGATGTGAACTGAACAAAACTAACAGCTCTCTCCTGCATCCAATTGAAAAATTTTGCCCATCAAAGTACCGATATTTTCTGACATTTTAATGACAATTTAAGATTGAAAAATTGAAATAATAAAAATGTTATCCACCAGGACAAAATAGGACAAAGAAAATGAAACCTTAACATGGAGAAGGGTAATTGTTTTGTAGGGCTGAAAAACGTACGGCTTCACTTTGAACGTTTCACTGATACTTTTCATCAAGATGTGTTAGCTGAAAAAAAAATAGGTTTTAGTTTGAACGTTTCACTGATATTTTCATCAAAATGTGTTAACTGAAAAACTTTTGGCTTCAGTTTGAACTGTTCACTGATATTTTTCATCAAAATGTGTTAGCTGAAAAAAATTCGGTTTTAGCTTCAACGTTTCACTGTTATTTTTCATCAAAAAGTGTTAACTGAAAAACTTTTGGTTTTAGTTTGAACGTTTCACTGATATTTTCATCAAAATGTGTTAACTGAAAAACTTTCGGTTATAGTTTGAACGTTTCACTGGTATTTTCATCAAAATGTGTTAACTGAAAAACTTTCGGTTTCAGTTTGAACTTTTCACTGATATTTTTCATCAAAATGTGTTAGCTGAAAAACATTCGGTTTTAGCTTCAACGTTTCAATGTTATTTTTCATCAAAAAGTGTTAACTGAAAAACTTTTGGTTTTAGTTTGAACGTTTCACTGATACTTTTCACAAAATGTATTAGCTGAAAAAAAAATCGGTTTCAGTTTGAACGTTTCACTGATATTTTCATCAAAATGTGTTAACTGAAAAATTTTCGGTTTCAGTTTGAACGTTTCACTGATACTTTTCACAAAATGTGTTAGCTGAAAAAAAATCGGTTTTAGTTTGAACGTTTCACTGATATTTTCATCAAAATGTGTTAACTGAAAAACTTTCGGTTTCAGTTTGAAATTTTCACTGATACTTTTCATCAAAATGTGTTAGCTGAAAAACATTCGGTTTTAGCTTCAATTTTTCACTGTTATTTTTCATCAAAAAGTGTTAACTGAAAAACTTTCGGTTTTAGTTTGAACGTTTCACTGATATTTTCATCAAAATGTGTTAACTGAAAAACATTCGGTTTTAGCTTCAACGTTTCAATGTTATTTTTCATCAAAAAGTGTTAACTGAAAAACTTTTGGTTTTAGTTTGAACGTTTCACTGATACTTTTCACAAAATGTATTAGCCGAAAAAAAAATCGGTTTCAGTTTGAACGTTTCACTGATATTTTCATCAAAATGTGTTAACTGAAAAATTTTCGGTTTCAGTTTGAACGTTTCACTGATACTTTTCACAAAATGTATTAGCTGAAAAAAAAATCGGTTTCAGTTTGAACGTTTCACTGATATTTTCATCAAAATGTGTTAACTGAAAAACTTTCGGTTTCAGTTTGAACTTTTCACTGATATTTTTCATCAAAATGTGTTAGCTGAAAAACATTCGGTTTTAGCTTCAACGTTTCAATGTTATTTTTCATCAAAAAGTGTTAACTGAAAAACTTTTGGTTTTAGTTTGAACGTTTCACTGATACTTTTCACAAAATGTATTAGCTGAAAAAAAAATCGGTTTCAGTTTGAACGTTTCACTGATATTTTCATCAAAATGTGTTAACTGAAAAATTTTCGGTTTCAGTTTGAACGTTTCACTGATACTTTTCACAAAATGTATTAGCTGAAAAAAAAATCGGTTTCAGTTTGAACGTTTCACTGATATTTTCATCAAAAAGTGTTAACTGAAAAACTTTCGGTTTTAGTTTGAACGTTTCACTGATATTTTCATCAAAATGTGTTAACTGAAAAACTTTCGGTTTTAGTTTAAACGTTTCACTGATATTTTCATCAAAATGTGTTAACTGAAAAACTTTCGGTTTCAGTTTGAAATTTTCACTGATACTTTTCATCAAAACGTGTTAGCTGAAAAAAATTCGGTTTTAGCTTCTACGTTTCACTGTTATTTTTCATCAAAAAGTGTTAACTGAAAAACTTTTGGTTTTAGTTTGAACGTTTCACGGATACTTTTCACAAAAAGTGTTAACTGAAAAACTTTTGGTTTTAGTTTGAACGTTAATCGATACTTTTCACAAAATGTGTTAGCTGAAAAAAAATTGGTTTTAGTTTGATCTTTTCACTGATATTTTTCATCAATATATGTTAGCTGAAAAACATTCGGTTTTAGCTTCAACGTTTCACTGATATTTTCATCAAAATGTGTTAACTGAAAAACTTTTGGCTTCAGTTTGAACTGTTCACTGATATTTTTCATCAAAATGTGTTAGCTGAAAAAAATTCAGTTTTAGCTTCAACGTTTCACTGTTATTTTTCATCAAAAAGTGTTAACTGAAAAACTTTTGGTTTTAGTTTGAACGTTTCACTGATATTTTCATCAAAATGTGTTAACTGAAAAACTTTCGGTTATAGTTTGAGCGTTTCACTGGTATTTTCATCAAAATGTGTTAACTGAAAAACTTTCGGTTTCAGTTTGAACTTTTCACTGATATTTTTCATCAAAATGTGTTAGCTGAAAAACATTCGGTTTTAGCTTCAACGTTTCAATGTTATTTTTCATCAAAAAGTGTTAACTGAAAAACTTTTGGTTTTAGTTTGAACGTTTCACTGATACTTTTCACAAAATGTATTAGCTGAAAAAAAATCGGTTTTAGTATGAACGTTTCACTGATATTTTCATCAAAATGTGTTAACTGAAAAGTTTTCGGTTTCAGTTTGAACGTTTCACTGATACTTTTCACAAAATGTGTTAGCTGAAAAAAAATCGGTTTTAGTTTGAACGTTTCACTGATATTTTCATCAAAATGTGTTAACTGAAAAACTTTCGGTTTCAGTTTGAACTTTTCACTGATACTTTTCATCAAAATGTGTTAGCTGAAAAACATTCGGTTTTAGCTTCAATTTTTCACTATTATTTTTCATCAAAAAGTGTTAACTGAAAAACTTTCGGTTTTAGTTTGAACGTTTCACTGATATTTTCATCAAAATGTGTTAACTGAAAAACTTTCGGTTTTAGTTTAAACGTTTCACTGATATTTTCATCAAAATGTGTTAACTGAAAAACTTTCGGTTTCAGTTTGAAATTTTCACTGATACTTTTCATCAAAACGTGTTAGCTGAAAAAAATTCGGTTTTAGCTTCTACGTTTCACTGTTATTTTTCATCAAAAACTGTTAACTGAAAAACTTTTGGTTTTAGTTTGAACGTTTCACGGATACTTTTCACAAAAAGTGTTAACTGAAAAACTTTTGGTTTTAGTTTGAACGTTAATCGATACTTTTCACAAAATGTGTTAGCTGAAAAAAAATTGGTTTTAGTTTGATCTTTTCACTGATATTTTTCATCAAAATATGTTAGCTGAAAAACATTCGGTTTTAGCTTCAACGTTTTACTGTTATTTTTCATCAAAAAGTGTTAACTGAAAAACTTTTGGTTTTATTTTGAACGTTTCACTGATATTTTCATCAAAATAAGTTAACTGAAAAACTTTTGGTTTTAGTTTGAACGTTTCACTGATATTTTCATCAAAATGTGTTAACTGAAAAACTTTCGGTTTCATTCAGTTTGAAATTTTCACTGATATTTTCCATCAAAAAGTGCTAGCTGAAAATTATTCGGTTTTAGCTTCAAAGTTTCACTGTTATTTTTTATCAAAAAGTGTTATATGAAAAACTTTTGGTTTTAGTTTGAACGTTTCACGGATACTTTTCACAAAAAGTATTAACTGAAAAACTTTTGGTTTTAGTTTGAACGTTTCACTGATATTTTCATCAAAATGTGTTAGCTGAGAAACATTCGGTTTTAGCTTCCACGTTTCGCTGTTATTTTTCATCAAAAATTGTTAACTGAAAAACTTTCGGTTTCAGTTTGAAATTTTCACTGATACTTTTCATCAAAACGTGTTAGCTGAAAAAAATTCGGTTTTAGCTTCAACGTTTCACTGTTTTTTTTATCAAAAAGTGTTAACTGAAAAACTTTTGGTTTTAGTTTGAACGTTTCACGGATAATTTTCACAAAAAGTATTAACTGAAAAACTTTTGGTTTTAGTTTGAACGTTTCACTGATACTTTTCACAAAATGTGTCAGCTGAAAAAAAAATTGGTTTTACTTTGATCTTTTCACTGATATTTTTCATCAAAATGTGTTAGCTGAAAAACATTCGGTTTTAGCTTCAACGTTTCACTGTTATTTTTCATAAAAAAGTGTTAACCGAAAAACTTTTGGTTTTATTTTGAACGTTTCACTGATATTTTGATCAAAATAAGTTAACTGAAAAACTTTTGGTTTTAGTTTGAACGTTTCACTGATATTTTCATCAAAATGTGTTAACTGAAAAATTTTCGGTTTCATTCAGTTTGAAATTTTCACTGATATTTTCCATCAAAATGTGCTAGCTGAAAAATATTCGGTTTTAGCTTCAACGTTTCACTGTTATTTTTCATCAAAAATTGTTAACTGAAAAACTTTCGGTTTTAGTTTGAACTTTTCACTGATATTTTTCACAAAATGTGTTAGCTGAAAAAAAGTCGGTTTCAGTTTGAACGTTTCACTGATATTTTCATCAAAATGAGTTAACTGAAAAACTTTTGGTTTCAGTTTGAACGTTTCACTGATACTTTTCACAAAATGTGTTAACTGAAAAACTTTCGGTTTCAGTTTGAACTTTTCACTGATATTTTTCACAAAATGTGTTAGCTGAAAAACATTCGGTTTTAGCTTCAAGGTTTCACTGTTATTTTTCATCAAAAAGTGTTAACTGAAAACTTTTGGTTTTAGTTTGAACGTTTCACTGATATTTCTCACAAAATGTGTTAGCTGAAAAAAAATTGGTTTTAGTTTGAACGTTTCACTGATATTTTCATCAAAATGTGTTAACTGAAAAACTTTCAGTTTCAGTTTGAACGTTTCACTGATACTTTTCACAAAATATGTTAGCTGAAAAAAAATCGTTTTTAGTTTGAACGTTTCACTGATATTTTCATCCAAATGTGTTAACTGGAAAACTTTGGGTTTCAGTTTGAAATTTTCACTGATACTTTTCAT